AAGATTTTGCTGACGGCCTTGCACAAACCACAGCGCCCGTTGCCATCAAAATTGCATCGGAGTCGAGGTGCGAAGTGCTCCCCGCCTGTGTGATGAAAAGTGCAGCTGGTTACTACGTCGGTAGCTACTGCAGGACTGAGGAGGGCGATTACCCTCACAGTCGTTACAGCGACTACTTTCGCAGCAGCAAGAAAGCCGAACACTGGCTGACCACCAGCCTCGAAAATGGCTCTCTGTAAACCAAGGCTCTGCCTTTAACCCCCAAAACCCGCCACTGAAAATGGCGGGTTTTTTCATTTCAAACAGGTTAATTTTCGAGAATATTGGTTTCACGGCTTGCACACGGCCGCCAAAATCGCTATATTGGCTACTGTTCACCTCTGCACGAGGAACTAGGCAGCTACCCCGAACGGAAGCCTGTGCATCCAGAAATGGATGCAACCCTTGGCGCAAGCCATCCTGAGTGTTTTTTCACTCATACCTCTTCATTGAGGCTCACTAGCTGGACCTTCGGTCCATGGCTCCAAAGCTAATTCCCGCCCGAACACTGGCTGCTGCTTTATGCGCGTCTTTTTGTTCGGGCGGGAGGGACCGGAATTTCTGGGTCGCATGATTCTCTAAGCACTTTCTCACGAGAGTGCTTAGAGGGTCATGTGGCCTGCCTCGTGCAAAGGAAATTTCGATGTCTCCAGATCAATCTACCCCCCGTGCGGCGGTGCAAGTAGCTCCAGTGGATGCTTGCACGCCAGCCGCCATGCGCAGTGCGGGAGTCCCCTTCCGCGCCGCCCACTGGTTTCAGTGTCATGCCCGCCGTCGTGGCGTCAGGAATGAAACTGAACTGACCGTCTTTCAGATGGTGCGAAAACTCGTTGGTTCGGCCCGCTTGGTTCACTAAATGGGCAGAGCGCAAAGCGGAGGTTCTTCATGGACCTCCGCTTTTATTTTTTGCGCGGCCTTCCTGTGCGCAATCGAACAACCGGTACTCAGTTGTCAAATTACACCCACCCAAAAGGCAAGACTTTCCACTCATTGAAATCTGTTCACTGACTGGTACGCTACCCAATTGTTTCTACTGCGAAAGCAGTGCCGCAGCTGACGGCTTCACTTCAGCCTGACCCGAAAGGGCAACACTCACTCCAACTGGAGATTCATATGTCATGGAGAAAAGATCTCGAGGCCATCCAAAGCCTCGGGAGTCAAGACCAGGGAGCTACCTCTCTGGCAGGACTGCACGAAGCGCGAAAGCGTCACCTCGCGCAGTTCTTTACACCCCTTGCAGTCGTTGAAATCATGTGGGCAATTGCCCAGCAAAGTTTTCATCATCGCGAGGCTTCGCGTATCAGTCTGTTGGACTCCTCCATCGGAACTGCACGACTCATGCATTTTGCTGATCCTGAGCGTCACCACATCGGCGGCGTTGACATCCACGAGGATGTCGTCAGCCAGGTCATGCAGCAGGCAGAAGCACAAAACCTCTCCGCAGAAGTGCTCTGTGCAGGTATGCAAGACATCCGGCCTACAGGCTTCGACGTTGCGCTTCTAAATCCACCCTTCAGCATTGCGCTGGAGTCGGCGGGTTTGACCGCCTTTCCCTGTACCAAGCATGGGCGTCTCGGTCCCAACACATCAACCCAAAGTGATGAGTACGCAGTCGCTCAAAGTTTGGCGGCAGCCGATGTGGTAGTGGCAGTGGTGCCCCAAAGTCTCGCACGTGATCTTCGGGATCGAGGTGCAGACATTGTGGGCGAGGATGCCGCAAAACGGCTGCGCGGCATCGTGAAACTCGGTACAAAAGCCTTTCTGGAAGAAGGCGCCTCGGTGGGTACATGCATCGTGGTCTACGGACATGATGAAGGGCCTTTCCTGGGTGAGTTTGAACCAATGAACCCCTCAGATTTGCCAGATTTCGGTCTGGTAATCCGTAAGGTGGGACTCAAACCACGCCTGCGGCCAGTTTCGTATGACACCGATAAGCCGGTGATCACCATGCCGATTACAGGCAATCCGACAGTACGGGTGACGCATTCCGGTCGACAAATCAACCTTCACTTCCAATGCGGAGGTTTCCAGGCGCGTGTGCTCAACGCCGTCTATCGAAAGCGAGTCTATTCGAGTGAGAATCATCGATTGCCAAAGGGCGTGAAATACGCGGGGCAAGGGCAGCTTGATATTGAGTCAATCTTGATGACCGACGATCCTCAGCAAACATTTGCTGAGCTGGTGCAGACCATTCGCGACGCGGGCGGCGAGCCAGCAGTTGATCCAACGTTAGCTAACTACCTTCGAAAGAAAATCCGGGCGCTGCCGCGGCTCCTGACGCCGCTGGGACACTGGGTATTCCGAAGTGACCATGCCGACAAGGTAACCGCAACAGCCAAATGCCGCGTTCCAAGCGAGCCCAAACTCATGATGGCGCCAGCCGTCAAGACCGGCGAGCAAATCGAGCTGGTACGCAACAGCGAAGGTTGGGAGTTCACGCTGAAGGCGTGGACCCGAAAACTGTGTGACGAAGAGGCCAGGCGACTTTTTGAAATGCCGGCGACGTCGACAGGATGGGTGGAGGCTCACAAACCTCTGCAGACCCACTTCCCGGTCATGGCCGCACAACTGGAAAAGGAAGCGCGAGCCCTGGGGATCGATAAATTTCTGAACTGGTCCTTCCAGTTTCAGGATTTGATTGAAGTGTGCATCCGCCCTGCGGGTACCGTCATAGCCTTCAAACAGGGCTTGGGCAAATCACGCATTGCTGCAGGGTTAATTCTGCTCAAACGCGTAAAGCACGGGCTGGTAACCATGCCAGCGAATCTGCTGGATGAATTTGGCAATCGTCTGAAAGATGCAGGTCTTCCTTCATCAATGTGGAAGATGATCGAATGCGCGGAGGATCTTCGGGAACTTCGCACCATCAACATCATTTCGAATGAACGCTTGCGCATGCCGATTTCATCGGATAGCGTTGAAGTTCTGGAGGAGGAAGAAACTGAAGGCGGCAAGAAACTTGCGGTTCGAAGCCAAAAGCGCAGCCGCAACACCTACGCCAAGAAATTGCGTGGGCGCATAGGTGTTCTCATTTGTGAT